CAGTATATTTAAGATTTAGTACATTATGTTGACAACTTGACAGCTAAAACCAATGCTGGTCTTTGTTAGCAAGCAGCGTTTTACCCTTCTGCAGGAAGATGGAGGAGACCGTGTGCATGTGTGTGACATCACTTTCCATCTCCTCTAAACAATCGTGAAGTATAAAAAAAAATTATAGATAACCCAAAATATTTTTTTTACAGAAAAGAAAACTGGAAAGGTTCAAGGGGTAAGAATACTTTTTCAAGTATATTAAAGTTTTGCTATTCAATCAGTTTAAACAGTAGGCCAAAATAGATTTTTCTGCAACTCAGTGAAACAAAGTATTATTTATCCTATTTTACTACATTAGCCTTGAGCTAATGTGTTGGTGGAACATTAGCACACCTGATATCAGAAGATCATTTGTTTTACAAAAGTTCTTCTTCTGTCACATTAGTTTTCATACATTTATACATATAAAGCAATAAAACAAAAACAGAATTTCAAAGTTTTACTTAATACAGTAAATTTAGTTTCTTAATGCTAACCTGTTCATCCAGCTTCATTAACATTCAAACATTGTGATTTGTTGTGTGCAAAGCATATTTTGGTATTCAGAGCGTCCGCCGTCTCTCTCGCTACTTTAGAAATGAACATATGGAAGGGCGTTGTGAACATGAGAAGAAAAATGGTAGAAGGGGAGTGCCCAGTCTGCTATCTGTCATGCAGAGGGATATATTTATCAGAAAAACATCTCACTCTGGAAGCCGCTATTTGGCTCCCGCCAGGCAATTGCAGCTGTGAGATACATTAGACCTGGTTTGGTTTGTTTTGGTTGTTTGGAGACGCTACAATTATGAGATACAGGGGGGGTTGAGTCTGAATACGGACAGTTTGTTATTTATTTTTTTCATACAGCAGAGGCTACATATCATCTCCTTTGCTTTTGCTTCCTTTTTCCATGTTTTGTTTTCTTCTCCCTCATCGCCAACATTTCTAACGGGGAGCCTGGAGTCTGATGAGCCATTTGCTCCGTTTCTATTACAAATGTAAGCAAATCTTTGTTAATATTCTGCTGATGTTCAAAAAACACTATTTTAAAATAGTAATTTAAACTAAAATCACATGTGAATAGGTCGTTAAAAATCATGGCAGTGACTGATAGTAAACAGTTACATGAGATTATATTCCTAATTCAGTCAATCAGAGGAAATTTTGAGTCTCAGCACAATTTCCCCAAAAGTAGGCGGGGCTTAGATGGGAGCCCCGCCTACTTTTGGGGAAATTGTACTTGGAGGTTTTAAAGAAGAGCTAATAAAAAACATATTTTTAAAATTCAATTACAAGAATAAACTTGTATGAGAATTAAGTCAAAATAATACAAGAATAAAGTTGAATTAAGAGAAAACAGTACGATAATAAAGTCAGTCATAGTATTATGAATATAAAGTTGTAGCATTACAAGAACAAAGTCATAATATTATGACTTTATTCTTGTAGTATTTTGCCTGTATTCTCATACAACTTTACGCTATATTATAACTTTATTCCCTCGATACTGTGACTTTGTTCATTTATTATTTCGTCTTTTTTTGTACGAGTTTATTCTCATAATATACAACATATTGAGAATTCTCATTATAAAGTAATTTATGATGACAATAATTCATTCTCATTTATTTATAAGAATAAATGACTTTATAAAGGATGTTATTCTAATAAAGTCATTTATGAGTCATTTATAATAATACAAAGTATTTTGTTCTAATGTTTTGTAATATCAGAACAAATTTATTTTCATTTTTTATTAGTATGGCTGTACTATTTTTATTAGTATGTCTGTATCATAGATTTAGAAAACTTGTGTTGAGATATTGTTGCTTCTTATACAAATCAATAATTTGATATTTCAAATCTGTATCCAAAACTTGGATTCTCCTGCAGAGCTAAAAATAAAAACACAAAGAAATTTAAAAGACATAGATAATTTTATGTCCATATAAAATCAGATTTTAAATCTTCCTTCCTAAGCATGAAGTCAGTTTCAAACAGAAAAACTGATGTAGGAGGATAACACTGAATGCTCTGAAGTGAAGTCAGGGTGTAGTTTCTCTAATCCTCTCTCACTGCAGAGCAGGCAGATGGATATGACAAATAAAAGGGTGCAACAGGAGTGTCTGCATGTGTGTGTGTCCGTTTCAAAGGCTCTCTTTTAATTCTGCAGCCCAGCAGGACACATTTTCAGACACGCAGTTGCACAGAAATAACCCAGCAGAAGCTAATCTGGAGGAGTGTGAACAGTGGCGTCTCTTCAGGCTGGCAGCGGCTGCAGGCCGCTGCGACTGACATGCTGAGATTCGGCCTTTAATCACCAATATCACTTTGGTTTATCTTTTTTAAAGACAGCGATTTACATCACAGGTTTAAAAGTTCAAACATTCAGGGATTCAGTGACTCATTGCTGCAACAAGGATGATTCAGCAAATCACAAAAGGTCAACAGAGACATTTAAATCCAAATGAGTGCTACTTAGCGAGCTAGCGTTTAGCTGCTATGCACCACAATCTGGAACAAACGTCAGACTGGTTTGTTGAACGCAACAATAAGTTCACTGAGTTCAAATGGCCTCCACAGCCACCAGATCTCAATCCAACACAGAACCTTTGGGATGTGGTGGAACCAACTATCGGTGCAGCTGACAAATGTGTCATAACTGCATGATGCCATCAGGTCTATATGGACCAGACTCTCTGAGGAATGTTTCCAGGATCGATGCCATGAAGAATTAAGGCAGTGTACCTAATATAGTGGCCAGTGGGTGTATCTTCTTATGCGGCCCTTTTGACTCCGAAGAGACGGATAAATGCATATGCTTCTGTATTATTTCATCAGTGAAGTCAAAGCAGTTTTTCTCTGCAAACTGGGAAACAAGATTTACAAATGTTTCAACACTAATGCATAATTATGAGTTAATTGCAAATTATCTGCAAAAATGGCCAAGAATATTAAGTTTAAGTGATTCTAACTACTTCTACTTTGATGCCAAGTTAATCTGTGATTGATGTGGCAACAAAAGTCAACATAAACTTAATTAGCTTTGAAAATATGAAATTGTTAAATGTTTAAATATAAAGAGACTGGGAACATGTATGTTATTTCTCAGAAAAATGTCTGTCTGCACAGTAAAGTCAATATTTCCCATTAAAACAAAAGAACATAGTGAATTCCCCAGTTTACTCCTATACACATGCGCACACACACAGACACAGGAGAGCAGACACAAACACAGGCTTAGGCAGATGTAGGCACAGGCAAACACACACAGAGCAGCTGTTTAAACTCTGTAGAGAATCCACTGCGCTGAATGACGGCCTTGATGCAAACATGGACAAAAACAAACAAGCATCAACAAAAAGACAAGACTGACGTTAAAAGTATTAGAAATTACAAAAAACTCATTTGTTTCTGCATTACAGCAGTAATCAAGCTTGTTGATTCTGTAAAATAAAAACAGAAAATGGACATTTCTGAAATTTTGAATGCAAACTGATAATTTGGTTTTTATTTTAAAGGTAGAAGTGATTAAAAAAGTAGATGCTGCTGCAGGTGAGAAACATGCAAGAACATGAACACAACCCAAATAAATAAATACATACTGCTAAATGTATTTTAAAGGTTATTTCCTACATAAAAAAACATCTCAATCAATTAAAAATAATTACATTTCTAATTTAATATGCTTGATTTATCTTTGTAGACATAAATTAATGAGATGACGGAATAATTATTGACCAGATAAAGAAAAGTTGCCCTTTGGCCTGTCAAAATAAATTAAACTGGATGATAAATTGTTCCAGTGGTTATTGCGAAAAACAACAATATTTTTATTTTGAGAGCATTTTCAAGTAATTTAGTGGTAATGATATAATAATTCAAGAACATTCTCAGATATCAAGAAACTTTAAGTTCTAGTTAAAATTTAACACTGGAACTGGAAAACATTTAAATATCCAAAAGAAACAAACAACTAATTAAATTAATCATGAAGTTTGTAAACAGAATGATCCTGTTTGTGACCAAAACGCCAAACTGAAGACTTTTATCATCCAGTTTTGATAGAAAAGAGAAAATTAATAAATTATGCAAATGGAAATTATTGAGTTTGTTTTAATTTATTGTATAATTTATTGATTTATTGCTTTTTGGAACAGGCCAAGGCACAGAAAACTGCATCAAAAGTCCAGAAAAAGTGTCAACTTTGCATGATTGGATAACTAATGACACCTTTAATGGACTTATAATTCAAGTTTAGTTGAACATTGCATTAAAAGTCTCCTTATTTACTGAATATCACTTCATACGTTCATAGAGACTCGCTCATGTTCCTGACGGTGTCATTTTTATCTCTTCAAATAAAGCGTTGCCCTTCAGTCTCATAACTTTATTTATTTATGTTTTGGCCCTGGTAAACCAAACTGCTTCTTTTCTTTTATCAACTATTTTTAAACTTTTCTGCCTTTACTCAGCACATATTTTATTTTAAAAATGCTTTTACTTTATGTTGGAAAGAGTTAGATAAAGAAACGAGTCACTGATAAACAAAGTAAAACTTAATGAGCCATTTTACTGTGAAACGTGTGTGTGTCTACATGTGTGTGTAGGTGTGTGTGCGTGAGTGTGTGTGTGAACGCGGCTGCGGTTCAGTGTGCTTTATCTGGTTTTATCTTTCCACCCCTCCTCTCTTTCTCTCTCAGGATTAAACATGTTTATCAATTATCACTCCATCTTGCCTCCAGCTCTCAGCACGCCACGCAGCTAATTGAATCATTTAACAATCGCTGCTCCTCTGGGAGTGAGTGTGTGTGTGTGTGTGTGAGTGTGTGTGAGTGTGTATGTGTGTGTGCGCGCGCACATGCTAGGGGTGAAAGTGGGGAGTTGTTTGCAGACATGATAATGCCCTCGGGTGCCTGCAATGCACTTGTCAGATATGTTTATTAATTTATGACACACACACTCACAGATGGGTCCTGGCGGTGCGTGTTGAGCACCATGTGTTGGTCACGGCTGGGGGCCTCCCGTTGTCTCACCAGCAACTGGTTGTTGGACGGCTCTTGTATCCAGGATCTGTGGAGGAGCAGAAAAATGACTGTTTACATATTTTGGATCTGCACAAGCAGCTGCTGGTGGTTCAATTTAGTCTAAAACCTGATGCTGCGTTACAAAAATCTTTGGAAATTTATGTTGGTGTGCTAAAAAACACGTCATACTGTGGGCGTAAGAAGAAAAAAATGAAGTTTATGAAACATATTAAACAGATTAAAGTCCTAAAATGGCAAGAAAAGCTTTTAAAATTACAGGAAAAAAGTCAAAACGATGTGCGATATTCACAATATAACTTTATTCTCAAAATGTTCTGACTATTCTTGTAATACTTTGATTTTATTCACAAAATATGACTATTATATTTCTCTTAGTATGGTCTTAATAATTTGTCACAATGTGGGAACAACATTACAAAGAAGCATTTCTCCAAACTGTTTTTTTTAACTTCATGTGTTATTTTTCTTCTGTGATAAAAACGTGAATCTGAGCGTTTGAGTGCATCAGATGCAGAAGCTCATCCTCATCCTCATCCTCATCCCTGCTCGTTTCCTGCCTGGTTGCCCCGCCTGACCATCACATCTCAACGCCGTCATTGATTACAGCTGATCCACGTCCCAGCAGCTAGCCTAGCATTAAGCGCTCTCAGGTGAAGTGTGGACACATTAATTGATTGCTGTCATCAGTGATTGTGAAAGCATGAACTCGTTATTAACGGCGGGCTTCATCAACTCTCGAGCAAACACACAATCAGAACTGCTTTCAGTGCCGCTGCACCCTTTAGCTGGAGTTTCAATTTTTTACTCCACAATAGGAAAAAAGAAATAATTGTAATTGTTTCTGTCTGATTTGGAGAGGTGTTCGGCTGCATCGTCAGACTCAAACCTACGTCTAACATGCCTGTGGTTTCAATTCTCTTGCACATCTGTGTGGGTTTATTTTTATTAGAAACGTCTGTTACAGTGAAACAAACTATGAAACAGCGATACTTTAAAAAAAAACAAAAATCACACATTAAATAAATAAATGGGCCAAACTGATCCCAACATCCCAGAAGTTTCTGTTTCTATTATATTTTTATTTATATACATATCACTGTTACTTTTATCCAATTATTTGACTTGCCTTCAAGAGTTGCTATTTTTAAAATGTGTTGTGCTTTCTTCTGTCCATAATGACAATAAAAGGAGTTCTGATTTGGACGGAAAAGCAAACCGGTCTCTGTTCGGTTGAAGTGAACTCTGGTGCTGTTCGAATGCATATGAACAGCACCAAAACCGCTCCAAAAACAGGAAGAGGAATACAGTGCAGGGCATTCTGGGTAAATAAAACAAACCCATGAATCCAACGCTAGTTAGAGAAATCCTACAACTGCTAAAATCTGACCCAACTCCACTGAGTGAAGGAGGACGTTGCGCTCAGTTGATGCATTTTCCATATAAATGTGCACAAAACTTAGTCGATAGTTTGCTAATGTCAAAAAACACAATTTTGCAATATCAGTGTTTCCATTAAATACAAAAACCCAATTAAAATCACATGTGAATAAGTTTGTTCACATGATAATTCATTAAAGAACACGTCGCACTACTTCCTGACATCCTCTTTGTCATTTCTGACAGTAGTAACATCCGGCTGTAGATCAGGTGACACAAAAAAAAAGTGTTTCAATCACAGTTTTACAAAATAGATGTAAAAACTTTAATGGAAAACATGAGTTTTTCCGAAATTGCTATTTGTGTAAATTTTATTTGAGCAATTATATGATCAATGGAAACGCAGATAGTTTCTTCTTCAGAGGTTTTCATGCCATTTCTATCAATGTCTCTTGTTGCAGCGCCCCTGCAGGCAAGGAGGGGAAATGGTTTTTCAATGAGTTTGATTTGTTAGGGACAGTGCAGTGTGAAAGAGAACCACAGCAGCTGAAAACGTAACAAATGTTGCATTTTGGTTCCGACTTGAACAGAATCTACCGGACAATTGGGTGTGAAACCGGCATAAAACATTTCCAGCCTTAGACATGTTGACCAAGCCTGAAGGTCTTTGGTTTGTTTTGCTCTTCTTGACGTTGCAGCTATTTTTATTTAGCAAAATAAAAAACACAAAAATGACAGAAAGCAACTTAAATCCTTACAGTTCATAGCGCATGTGTTAAAGTGTCAGACTGAAAGCTGACCCAGAGTGAAGAGAACCAACAGAACTGAAAGAAACCCCCAACCGACCGCCTTCTTCACCATCACCATGACAACCTCCGCCCCGCCTTATTCTGGGATGTCCTGTAGTTATGTTCTTCAATTATGTCTCACTCTTTAATGTTGGTGCTGCACATTGATATTTAGTCAACCGCTGCAATTTTAGCTGCTGCGTTGAAATGTAACTGTCTCACCCGGAAATCAAAGGACAGATAGATTCTCCTGAGGCGACGAGACGCAGAGATGAACATTTATTCCCGTTTCCTTTCAGGCTACATCTCCAATTTGATTCCAAACACCAAGGGTTTTTCAGCATGCCAAGCAACTTTCAAGGAAAATGTTTTGCATGGTAATTTATCCACCGTCTGTGAGACGTAACATTTTAATCCCCACTTTAACTCCATGGGAATATTTAGAGTCTACAGTAGACATTATGTGAAGCCTGTACAGAGAAAAAATGTGTCGTCATGATATTCATTTAATGCAAGCCCTTTAATTGGAAAATATTTCAAAAATAATTCAGACATTAAAACATGGGTTAAAATGTCTTTAGGCCCAATCATGGCCCTGTATTAAATGCCAATATAATTTTAAGCAGGTTCATTCTGGCCGAACTTTGGGACCCAGACTGGTGTTGTACAAGTTGAGATCATTTCATTGACCCCCATTTCAGTGATGTTTGACCTCTATGGGGTTCCCACTCTATTCTTTAAGAATAGAATGGATATAGACGGATATTTTGTAGAACACAACTCCAAAGTATTTATGAAAAATCAGCCAATTCGCTGATCTTTTTTCATTGCACATATCTAAAATAATCTAAATAAATGCAGTTGTGAAGCTATAATTCATAGAGACAATGCCACTGGCTGGTGTTTGCAAAGTAGCCAATCCAGGAACACCATTTACTGTAGTAGGTGCTGATTGGCTGAGATAAGGAAGACTGTAGATATTGGTTTCCGCAGTTGCTTCAAGATGGTTTCTACTGCATATATTCATATATATGAATATTAAGGTAGATTTGTGGTTTGAAATATCAAAACAAATTGTAAGAGGTTTTGAGCGAGAGGCTCGAGAATTTATTGAGTTCAGCTCTTCGCTGTGGTCCATAAAATAACAAATATTGGTGGTCAACTATACATTGTATTTAGAAAGTAAGTTCCAGACATGAATCCTAGGGGTACATGGCACAACCCCATCCAGATGATTGGATAGACTAGATCACAGGTATCAAACTCCAGTCCTCCAGGGCCAGAATCCTGCGGTTTTCCATGTGCCACAGGTACAAAAACTGGAATGAAATGGCTTAATTGCTTCCTCCTTGTGTAAATCAGTTCTCCAGAGCCTTAATGACCTAATTATTCTATTCAGGTGGTGCAGCAGAGGCACTTCTAAACATTGCAGGGCACCGGCTCTCGAGGACTGGAGACCCCTGGTCTCGATGATTTGAGTTTATCCACAAATTGCTTCAGAATTTGTGGCATTATCAAGTCTGAACTTTCATGAGCAGAATCTTGATATTGTTGCCAATGTTGTGGTAGATTTGTTGCAGTGTAAGGCGTAAAATCTAGCCATCCAAATTCACTAGCCTGAGGTAAACTTTTGAAGATGCTCCTTCTTAATTGCCTTGAATACTTTTGTTGATTTAATTTCTTCGCTGCAGAAAATGAGCTGGAAATTCTTTGCCTTTCATACAAAACATAAATCAATCTGTAGCTAACATGGTAAAGGATGCTTTCCATGTTCCTAGAAAAGACATGAAAATCAGACACGCACACACTCCACCCACACAAAGGAATCTCCCTCAGCCCGAGGTGGCCACCACCCAACACAGGTTTGCAAATGTTGCATTGTACGCTGAAGGCGTTCCACAGGTGCGATAGAATGACCTTTCAATCACACGCACACCTTGTAAGACAGACGAAATGAAAGAGATAAAAAGAGTGAGTTCATGCAGAATAGGCCCAGAGCCAGAAAATCCATTTATCTTATCCGGTGAACATGTGTATGTCTCCTCCGTCTGACAAGCTTTGATTTACTGTTTGGCATGTTAGGCGGACAAAAGTTGGCTTGAGATAAATCGAGTCATCATGTCAGAGAGGGAAAGACCCACCAATGTGTCAATTGCTATTTTTTGGTCATAGTGGCTTTGTTCACCCTGTCATTATCCGCCTTCTTTGTCTTTCGTAACTTAACCGACTTAAAATCAAAGTTTATAAATAACATAACATTCATGGTGAATTTAGTTTTATTGCAAATCAAACCTGAATGAAAAGATTGTTTATGTGCAACAGCTGTCAGAACAGTGGAGTAATAAAATTCTGTGTAAACTAGATTCGTGCTTGAGCTTCGGTCCAACAAGTTACGACCAGCCGGCGACAGCGTCTGCATGCGCAGAAAGACACAGCGTACCTTAAAATATTTTAATCAGCCACACCATCTATCAAAAATCAGTCAGGCTCATAACCACAACATCAATATGAAGGGTGAATTCTTTTCATTGAGGAACATTTTTCAATATTTTTCACTACTAAAAACCAAAACACAATCAAGCAAAAATAATACATTTAATTCGACTCTACAAACTTCTACTGAAAGGAAAAGTTTAAGGCTAGGTAAATAAATGTTTCAAATTTTTAGTAATTCAGTTTCTAACTCCAATAATACACTCAAGTTTCTTTACAGAAAAGCAGTTCAATCATCCAAACAAATCCGAGAATATGATTCAAATTGGTCAAAGAAAATTGCTGAGTTTACAGCAATTCCTCATGTTTAGCAAACAAGGTGCTTCATATCTGAGGGAAACAGCGAAAGGAGGATGAATCTGAAATC